CAGTCTCCTAGTTTCCAGCCTGATGCCTTAACCACTACACCAAGCTGGCTCTCATATTAATTACATACAATTTCAAAATAATTATGTGAAGACATGGAATGAAATTAAGAAGGACATGTTAAGATGGGAGAAATTAAAATTGTCACTGTTGGGGAGAATCTCTGTGATAAAAATGAATGTTTTGCCATGAATGATATTTTTGTTTCAGAGAATACCTATTTTGACAATGGATGTACCATTTAAACAATGGCAAAAAGATATATCTAAAACCACGAATTAAATATAAAGTGTTACAAGATGCAAAGGAAAGAGGAAGACTGGGTTTTCTGGATTTGAAATTATATTTCACTGCTTATTGTTTGATCTGGATGAAAGAATGGATGTTGCTGAGAAATAAGAGACTTTTAGAGTTAGAAGATCACGATCTGAGGTTTGGATGGCATGGATATTTATGGTACGATAAAGTTAAAATTAATGTGGATTTCAAAAATCACTTTATTAGGTGTGCCATATTAAGAATACGGAATAGATATAAACCCAGGTTGTGTCCAAAAACACCTTTATGGATCTCAGCTCAAGAAGCATATCATAGAAGAGAAACAGAAGACAAAGACAAATGGTTGACGTACCAGGAATTATTGGAAAACCATCAAGGGGAATTTAAAATTAAATCAAGGGAGCAATTAATAGCAGAAAGATATAGTTGTCAATGGTTTTCCCATTTACAGTTATCAGAAAGATTAAAAATGGACAAAAAGACTTATGGTATGGAGCAAAGTCAGACAGAATTTGAAGTACAATTATGTACTGATGATGAACATGTAACTGGTAAAATATGTAAACTTTTGCTGAAATTTGAAACAGAGGAAGAACGGTTAAAAAAGTATGATAAAGTGGACTAAGAATTTTGGTTATAATATACAGATGGGAGGCTCATAACATAATAACAAATAAAAGTACAATAAACTTTTTAGGAAACATATAAACAGACAAGTGCTACAAAGGGGATGACAATTCAGTGTTCTAAAGAAAGTATTTGATGATATCTTATAGTTACAATAAAATAACATAGGTTGGATGCAGATTGTCAAAAGAAGTCCTTATATTGCTAAAGAAAGAGGACATAGTTTTGTTGTTTCACTGCATAACTTGTTTTTTGAAATGATTCCAAGAGGGAATAAGACTATTCCTTTGTTTTTGATATCTTAATCATGACGATATGTGTGTTGTATGTGTGTATATATATGTGTGTAAAATAGCAGAAATATAGGTGTTAAAATAATCTTGGAGTAATTCAAATTTAGCAACATTATTCTAACTGACAAAGAATCAAAAGAGTATAATCAACATTCATCAGTAATTATTCTATCCAACCTAATAATCAGTAGGCTTCATGTGCCTATAACCCCAATGTTAGACTATAATTCAATTGTATATTTAGAAAGTCAGAAAGTATCATTACATATTCAAAGGTTTCCTGCTTTATTTATTTATTTTATAAAATTTATATGGCCACCCATCTCACACAAGGTGACCTTATAAGGACATCTTACCATATTAACATGGACTGATAATAAAGATTAACTATCTTTATATATAGGAAGAGTGCAACCTCTTAGAAGAAAATATGCAAGATGTAGAATAAAAGAAATCTTAAATATCTGCTCCAAGCTCAGCACACTGTTTGTCTGATATGTGATTTGCTAATGATTCTATGATGTCAAGTAGGAGAGGTTGACTGAGGGACCGAAGATTTGGCAGCTTGGAGACCTTCAACAGGAAAGAGAAAGAGAGAAAGGGAGAATGGTTAGTTATTACTATGAATCCAATCATGCTGAAACAAATACACCAAAGGAGGCAATTCTGAATATGTTTTGTACAGATTCAAAAAGCTTTATTGAAATTAATATTTTATTTCTTCAACTAAACATAATGATTCTAATCTTGAAACAGAAATCTAACATAATGGAACATGTTCTACTTTCCATCAAACAAGCAAGTTTAGCAATAATGAGAAGAAATAATAAACACTTAAGATTTTCTATTCCTTTGCCCTAGCTCTCATCTCGGCATAATTATGCAAGATGTAGCTTTTGAAAACCAGTGATGAGATTCTCCAAAAGTCAATAGAAAAGACATTTAAACAATGGCTTTTAACAGATGGAATCTTAAAATATTAACACTTTTATAGTGCTGTAAAAATGTAAATGATTAAAAGACAGTGACCAGGATTCAAAGAGCAGGTAATCTATTATCATCCAGATGTACTGGATTACAAATTTTTATAATCCATGAACTATTCCCCATGCTGTCTGGGGCTGACAACATGAATTATAGTGGAAGCCTGAACAGATGTACACCACCAGAAAACTATCCTATTGCTTAAAATTATGTACCATATGTTTTATCTATTCATTTTTAATTTAAAATTTTTTTTTATAATGTATAGTTTGGATTTAGATGGAGAATTTCTCGGTGACTTCCCAAATATCAGCCAATCTGTGTTACAGAATAGTTCTAGTGTAGCCTTGTAGAACTGCACTACAACCAGCCTGGGAAAAAATGTGTATTTATATTGAATACATCAGTGGCTTCAATAGATCCTGTTGTAGTTAAATGCTTTCTTTACCCCTAATAGCTTCATG